CAAAGTTTAGGATTTATATGTTGGGAGGGACAGGAAGCCCGGCTATGTCAGATCGACTTCAAAATAGATTAGCATCAGGATGTGTCGTGCTGGAGTATGCTCTTGCATACTTCGTATTTGGATGTTGTATACATCGAGAAAGAGCCGCGGTTGCAGCATGCTGCTCATGTGCCAAAGTCCCGGGGGGACTCCCTAATATCAAAGGGGGTCCTCGGCGGAGATTGTGAAAATGACCCCTAAAAGGGACCTCTATTGTGGAGATGATGGGCGTGGCAGTGCTGAAATTTCAACCCTAAAAGGGACCAATCAATAACAGGTCATTTTGTTTTGGTTTGCCGATTTTATTTGTGTTTTTACACAATCATCGAACACCGTCGGCTCGTATTGAGTTTATGACGACGTTGCCATTTTATGACTGCTTAGGGTCGCCGTATACCCTAAAAGGAACCACAAAACACAGTTGGTAGGAATTCTTGTCATGATCACCCTAAGCGGGACCAAAATACTGATTTCAAACCCTAAAAGGGACGCCGAGGACCCCCGCCCTTTGATATTTGGTGGTCCCCCCCCGTGGCCAAAGTCCGAAGGTCTGCCAAAGGAACCCTCATTTCAAGGCTACCGCCTTCTTAAAACCATGCAAAACAGTTCACAAGAATCCAAAACACTGCGAATTATGGACGGCAAAGTGAGCAGTATATAGTGGTCATTTAGAAATSAAAATATTTCAAAATGATTGGCACAAAGCGAATGCCAAACTCCACATTTTAAGAGATTTCGAGTTGTGGTTTTCCTGTGGATTTACGCTAGTTCCTGGGAACTAACCCTTCGAAACCCTTCGAGGAACGCCTGGTATCAAGCAACACCCGGTCCATCCAGAGTCCATCCATTGTCGTTGGTTACTCATAATTTAGCTGTGTTTTGTGCCAAGAAAAACTTGCTTCTTTGATGGTGTTTGCTGCTATAGTTAAGCTCTCTTTATAAGCAATTTCAAGAGCATTATTTATTTAGGTAGAGGTAAAAAATGGACTTCAAATTTAAAGCAATCTTTCACGTGTTGGTCGTGGTAATTATGTTGAAGATGGCGCAACTGGTGTACTCACAAGACGTCGTTGGATGCGGTGGATTTGTGCAGTCAGAAGTAGAAATAAACTATTCACTAATAGAGGTATATTAACTGTCTCATTCCTAACCTTAAATCGCTAAATCGCATTGTGATGTATGTAAATTCACAATCTCTTAAATTCAAGTCTTTTTAGTTGGATGGTCCTTCATCCTTTGAATGGGTTTGAATGAATATTAACTTATAATATTCTACGTTTTTACCATCAGATTAAATTATACTCCAAGCAAGGAATCATGAAGTATAAAACAGAATGCGCCCCCAATAATGGCTATTTTCTTATCCCMTTATATGATAAGGTGAGTTCAACTGCATCTTTCAAATGCATGYATGAAGCATAATGTTAAATTTCGTCCAAAAATGTATTTTCRGTAARTRAAATCGTATAAATTTTTCAAAGTTTACTGGATTATGCCACTGATAAATTAATGAAGTCTCTTTGTTACACAGGGAACATTTATTCTTAAGATTGAACCACCATCTGGCTGGAGTTTTGGTAGGAACACATCATGTGTTATGATGCATCTCATTTCTTTGTTTTAGATAAATATGATAATGTTTTAGATAAAATATTATTACCTGAATGATTGCAATGATCAATTTCGGATCTTAATCTTAATGCTCTAAATGCTGTATGTTTTTTTTTATCAGAGCCAAAAAGTGTAGAATTGAACATTGATGGTACTAATGACAAGTGCAGCAAGGGAGAAGACATCAACTTTGTATTCACTGGTTTCTCTCTAACTGGAAAGGTATTGTTTTTAATAGTAAGACCAACAAGCTTTCATCAGCTAGTCAGAGTGTGAAGTATTAGTGAAATTTGAAATATGTTGATGTAGTCTATGTGTTCAATAGTAACCAYTGATTCATTTTAAAGGTGTTAAGCAAAGGTCGTAAGGAAGGACCATCAGGAGTTGAAATAACACTTARAAATAAAGGTACAAAGCATAAAACATACAGTGTTTTTAATCACAAGTGAATTTAATCTTTAGTAATAATGCAAATGATGCAAATTCKGTGCTCAATGTAGCTTCTGATTCCTGTGTTGTAACTTTTCTTTTTAAGATGTTGAAAAGAAAACAACCACTTCTGATAGCGGAGTGTAAGTTTTAACTTTTAACTTTTAATAGTGAATTGCAGCACAATAGTCTCCTTTATCGTTACTATAGCCAGGTAGGTAGAACGTGCCTTTGCATCGAAGCGAGACAACTGTTGAGCGTGCAATGATAGATATCTGTGAATAACTGTCTGTAGTTGTGTACAAAGGTTTTCATCATTGCACGCTCAATGGTCGTCTCACTTTGATGCAAAGCCAAGGCATGGCTACCTTWCAAGATGGCACATGGAACCGTGAAGACTATTTGTTTTTAAATTCAATTTCTTACAGGTTTATATTTACTCGAGTAATGCCTGGGACATACAAAGTTATAGCAAGTCACAGTACTTGGACATTTGAGAAGGTTAGTACAGCACATGTATGATTTATGGGTTACCCTGTGCCACAGGGTACCCAATAAGAAGGGGATTTGTTTTAACATTTTTCTTATGTTTGACAGGCTGAAGCTGAGATTGTGGTTAAAGACAGAACTACAGAGTTGTCTGATAGCCTGATAGTTTCTGGATATGATGTTAAGGTAAATGTTTCACTAATCTTTGTAGATTTATTGTAACTTCATTTAATATATTCTGTGGTGAATTTCAACWATTTTTTATCCATTACACAGGGTCATGTGATCAATGAAGGTCAGCCTATCAAAGGAGTACAATTTCTTCTTTTTTCTAAGACTGAAACTGTCAATGTAAGTATATCTTAAAGGGAGGGGTGGGACTCCTTTGTATAAAGTTACAGTTGATCACCATGTAATGTRACAGACCAATACAATTCAGAATTAAGCGTTTAGCATTTGTACTAGTGTGTTAAAGCTGTATATTGKTTTTTTYTTCAGACAATAAGCACTGGTTGTACTCCAATGTCTCCAGAAACACTACAAAAAATCCAGCCCAAGACAGATGGTGGTAAACCATTGTGCATGGTGCAGTCTGGTGCTGATGGTTTGTTTGCTTTCCCCAGTGTACCCAGTGGAGATTATGTGCTGGTAAGACATTGATATCCCAT